AAAGAATATAAGTTATACAAATTAATAGTAGTATTTGAAATTTGAACATTTGGTGATTTCAGAATTTCGGGGTGAAAAAGTAGTCAGAAAGTAATAATATATATGCTACATATTGAAATAAATAATAATAAAAATGAATATTCTCATGCAACACATAAATGTAAGTATAAGAATATGAAAATTATAAAGCATAAAAATATAAAAGTGAATGCATAGAAAATAAAAGTAAGTATCAACTTCGTAAACATTGTTAACGATACAGTTCAGAGCTAAATGTAAACATCGAACAAAAAGGTAAAAAATCACATAGTTTAAATACCAGTAGGTACTGAAACGCAATAAATAAAATTAATTGTTTATATAATTTAAATTTCTGTCTGAATAGAATTCGTCTAGAGAATAAAAGGCCTTTGAAATCAGAAGCTTTTTTACAGACTTTCTAAATTTAGTGGTACATGTTATGCCTTTGATTTCATTTGGCAAATGGTTGAACATTTTCTTTCCATTAAATATGAAAGACTTCTCAATTTTTGATGATATTGGAATCGGTATACCTATATTGAGCTTATTTCTGTTATTTCGTCGTGGTCTGTTCTGTCCTATATTTTTTTTGCATTAGACATGCCATTACATGCCATACTTATATTGGATATAAGTTCTCATACTTATAAGTATGGAAGGCAAGGTCAAGATTTAATGCCTTCTGAATGAAGGTCGACAGGAGTCCCTGAATCCAACTCTACACATATTTCTAACTCCTTTTTTGTAGTACAAACACCCTATCAAACATGAATTGGCAACACGTTCCCAAAAAACAGATACCGTATCTCAGATGGGAATCAATGAGAGCCAAGTACAAATTTTCTGTCATATTAGTGCCCAATTCATTTGCTGATACTCTGACTGCAGTGGATGAAATTTTTTCACATAGGTTATTTATGTGATCTTCAAAATCCAAATTTTTATTAATTTGTAATCCCATAAATTTTGCTGACATTTTGTTTTCTATTAATTGAGTACCCAGGTAGATATCTAGTGTGGAGCACTTTAGGGTGATGATGCTAGTTTTTGAGATATTAAATGACAAGAGATTAGCATCACACCAGTCTTTTATTTTTATAATATCCATGCTGATCGAAGTATGCAGTTCCCTTCCATTCTTTCAATGCCAAAATAAAGTAAAGTCATCAGCGGTTTGGGTTATTTCTGCGGTTATAATAATGCGGGCTACGTCGTTAATATATAACAAAAGAATAGGGCCTAGAACCGATCCTTGTGAAACACCACAAGTAACTGTCTGGAGATGGGATATGTTGTCCGGGAGTTTGACTTTCTGAGTACGTTCTGACAGAATGATCTGAACCATTTCAAAGATATATCTCTAAAGCCATACACTTCTAGTTTTTGCAGCAGAATTTCATGATCTACGCAATTAAAAGCTTTTGAAAGATCGCAAAAAACTGCCGCTGCTATTTCACGATTATATAAATTGAGATAAACGTTTTCCACTTGATGGAACATAGCATCTTCCGTGTTTTTCAAACTCTGAAACCCAAACTGACTGCTACTAATGATATTATGCTTATTCACAAACATCATAATTCTTTGTTTAACAAGTTTTTCTATGATTTTAACAAGGGTAGGTAGCATAGAAATGGGCCTAAAGTTGGCAGGATTGTTAGTGTCGCCTCCTTCGTGCAAAGGAATATCAATGACTGTTTTAAAACATGCCGGAAATACACCGTTATGAAGCTTGTGTTTATAGCTTCCACCAAAGCGGTGATAGCGGAGTTGGGCAACTTGGTAAATACTTTTATGCTCATGGCATCCCAACCAGCTGAGTTTGAATTTATTATTTCCTTAAGAATTTTTCTAATTTCCATAACATCTGTAGGCATGAAAAAAAAACGTCTCTGAAACTGATTTGTCTTTATGAGAAGTCAAGGGATTATTATTGGATTTTATATCTTTGGATAAGTTATGTGCCACAGTGTAGTAATATTTGTTAATACAATCAGATTTCAGGTCAGTTTTCGTAGGAGCAATATAATTTTTTCCCCTGAGGTCATTGATGATTGCCCAGCTTTCTATTTGTTTGTTTGCAGACCTTTCCATTTTTTCATATAATGAAGTTGTTTTGCAGTCCTTATAGTTCCTTATAGTTTTTTTCTGGATGGAATCCAGCAACTTCAGGGTATGTAAAAAGAGGGTTGGAGACAATGTGGATCGCTGGAAAAGTTTGATGAAAACATCACTTGCAATTTTGATAGTCAGGAACTTCGAAAAAAGGTTGGAGATTAAACGGGAGGTATTCAAGTAACTTGGCACATTTAATTCCACCAAGAGCGGTACATATCAGGAATACGCGACGGATTGTGGCTGCTCATCGTTTTGAGGTTCAACGCAGTACACCTCAAATTTCACTGTTTGGGAACTACTCTATTTGGAGAACTGCGTTTATATGGGATGAACTTCCTGAGGACGTTTTTCCAAATGGATTGAGTCTCTAGCGATTCAAATCCAATATGAACCGCTACTTTCGCGCAGACACCACTCATAGAGCGAGAATTTTAGGGAAGGTATAGAGAATAAGGCAGACAACGGCTGAAAAATGATAGGCGAAGTAAACTGAGAAACAAACAATAACAACTATTTCAACCTAGCGAGGAATTTTCGGATCTCCAACGTCGATTGGCAATAGGAGAATGCGTAAGTACTGGTCAAAGCAGTTAGTCAGGGAGCATACATATATTCTTGGACATTTCAGGTATGGTTTTCTATGGAACGGAAGATTCCCATTACTATGATGTTAAATGAATAAGATCTACTTGTAACTTAATTACATTGTTAATATCCTCTGAATAAAGATCTCAAAAGGCAAGGTAGTGTTTTGAAAGGTCACATAGGAGCAGTATTGATCTAGTGCTAAATTGAAACGTAACAAAGTAACTTGGCACATTTGACTCCACCAAGAGCGGTACATATCAGGAATACGCGACGGATTGTGGCTGCTCATTGTTTTGAGGTTCAACTCAGTACACCTTCATTGTTTGGGAACTATTCTATTTGGAGAACTGCGTTTATGTGGGAGGAACTTCCTGAGGACGTTTTTCCAAATGGACTGAGTCTCTAGCGATTCAAATCCAATATGAACCGCTACTTTCGCGCAGACACCACTCATAGAGCGAGAATTTTCTCATAGTGCTTGTCTTTTGTCCTTAGAAAAAATGATCTGCTGGCTGTCTTGTAGTGAAAGCTGCAATGTAGGACAGAAGACAAATTTCGATGGCGGTCGATGTCGAAGCTTGACTTTACCGCCTTGTGGAGCCTCGTTCATCTTCGACATTCATAGATGGCGCCTCCTTGAGGGAGCTGTCATCACCTTCACTAAATACTGCCATGTACTCAATGGTATGGGTATGTGCTTTATTGTTTCATTTGTTTGTATTCAATGTTGACTTTCATAAACACCAGTTGTTTCTGAATTGAGATTTAATATAAATATATATTTTAGGGATTACTACATATGATATTGAAACCATTCACCTTTCTGGTGTACACGTTCAAATTCAAGCAGTTGTCCTCATTGCCATTGTGGAAACCATAAACCTTTGAAGGACATTCAGGACCTTCCTTCGTCCCGTCTCTCACCCCAGTCCATGGTTCACAGGGTACAGGAGCCTAAAGAGAAAAAAATTATATTATTGTATTCAACATTAGAGTGAGAAAATTTTATATTGAATGAGGGACATTTCGTGTCAAATGTAAGACATGTGTCAAATATTCGAGTGATTGGTATCTGAAGTGTCTGAAAATCTTTTGAAATCGCTCTGCAGGCAGTCACTCAAATTTCAGTTGCTTGTCCCCAAATTCTGTAGCACGACCGCCACAATGCAACATCCCAAAAAGAAAGATTGCAGCCTTGAAAAGCTTGAACTCGGATGAAGGTATCACGATGTTTTTCAGCGGACAAGGGAAATGCTACGGTGCTTCTGAAAACGAAATAATATAACACCAGAATTGAAAAATTATTAGAGCCTTCAATTCACCGCAAACATAAACGAGACCCAATACAATCAAGGTTGAGGAACATTAACATGATCATTAAATCTTTCTCACTGCCGGAAACCATATAGAGAATCATTCTTAGAACTGAAGCTATTACACCCAGACTCTACGGTCTTCCTAAAGTTCATAAAGCCAATATGCTACTGAGACCAATAGTTGGTGCACTAGGGTCGCCGACCTACCACCTGACGAAGCATTTGGCCTCGCCCCTCTAGCCTCACGTTGGAAAAACAAATTCTCACGTCACGAATTTGACAGACTTCGCTGGTGAAATTAGAAACTCAACTCTGGAGCCGACACATATTCTGGCCAGCTTCTATGTTGTGTTCTTGTTCACCAATGTCCCACTGGAAGACTCTCTGAGGGAAGGAGGGGGCTAGCCCACTTGTTTCGAGTGATATCGACGGACTCTTCAAAGCATCTCTCACAAGGAGTTTCTTTCAATGGACGAGTAACTCCTATGAGCAACTAGATGGCGTGGCAATAGAAAGTCCACTTCCGATGATAGCCAACTACTTCATGGAACGTTTCAAAAAGAAAGCAATTGACACCACTGAATTGAATCCAACCTCTTGACTACGTTACGTGAATAATACTTTCGTCATCTGGAAACATGACGGAGACGCTCTAAAGCTTTTTTCGGATTACCGAAAAACCATGCACACCGAAAGATACCTGCACGCCCTATCAAACCACCATCAAAAGAGGGAGTCATCTCTACTCTAACTGAACGAAAAAAAAAAGACTAAACATTATATTCTTTCTTCAGAACGTAAGGCTGTCCATTTATTGTTTGAATATTAGAATATTCAATATATTTTATCCTTGTTGATTATTTATGTTCGTTACCTACGTTATGATATCTATGTTTCAATAATTGTATGTAAGGCTCATTAGCCTAATTTTATAACATTCACTGTACTTTTATTATGTTACAACATTTTAGTGAATTATACATAATTTTATACATATAATTCTTATATAGAAAAGCAACTGAACTCGATTTTAAAGTGTACTAATTATTGTCAATATTTGGAATAAGTAAATCACCCACGCACAGGCACTGCCTTAGTGGATACTTGTTCATTCGAAATATCTCTGAATGAAAGTGAACAATTATTATATTATTATATTTTATTTCGAGAAACTTATTATTATTTTGAGAATAAACTTATTCTGTTTGGAAACACGAAATTGCCCCCAATCAGGGATACCATACCCGACTGTTACGGGCGGCACAAACAGACGGGTAATTTCAACAGAAAAGAAAAACCTGTGAAACTCTAATAACTCTAATCTAGGTACAGGTATAAGCACACCAAAACTACATGAGTCAACATCAATACTCTTCACGCAGCCGTAATATCGTAGATAACTCAGGATGTGTACGCCTTTGAAGAGGATGAAGAAGCATTCGTGCCAGCGAAACGTCAGGAAAAATTCCAAAAATCGACGATCTTCAAACCCGAAAAATAGTGATACTAAATATTAGTTATTTTTCCCGTTCAGAAAGCACTCTTTTCATCCTCAAATAACTCCTGAATTTACAGGGTATTATGAAACTAGATGTTACTGGATATGTAGTGAAGAAACATCAAGCCGATTTCAATGTCATTAACATCCAGCGTTTATTCAATTTTGAATGGTTATTCCTCTTTCTTCACACCAACATAGGAAAGATGAAAAAAATACCCAAATCTCATTTTTTCCATAATCAGTTCAGAACTGTCAATAAAATTGCCATTTCGCACCTACCAAAACGGATGTTAGTCTGTAGACAATAGTGTATTTTACTCACTTTGAACCTCAAATCTCCGACAGGCGCTTTTGCGTACGGTATTCCACTGAATCTATAAAACGTTCCGCCATGATAATTCTTGTGACTTTTTCCACGAATTTCACCAGTTTCCACATTTACCACAATATCTTCCGACATATTGTCAATATCAATTTGTTTTTCATTCTAAAATAAACTCATGACTACTCTCTTGGAGGTACTTTTAACGTTACGGGTCAAGGTCTAGATTATTTATCCGAAACCTACTTTTCTGAACTACACGAGAACGAAGATACGACATATCTACAGGACCGGAGTTGGCGAATGACAAAAGACAGTTTGTTATCTTTCTCTTCTAGAATTGAACTAGGCTAAATTCAGTAAATTGGAAAAAGTAGCACAACATTTTATTTGGGAAGAATCAAACGATATCGGTGATAAATAATATTGGGTTGTTTTTGAAGTTGTGTCCGTTTTTTTACAGGCTTTATATTAGCTTCAGCTGCATGTATGTTTCTAAATCTCGTTTTCATTCCATATCGGGATCTGTATTTGACAGAATTATCGACATTATGCTTGATCTATTCGCAGGCAGATGGCGCTGTACGTAACCTCATTGATATAATTTGAACTCTCTTGACGTGTATTTCTTCATTTGGAATAAGTATTTTTTTTACTAACACGCGCGCCTGCTACCTTATTTGCAACCCACCTTTGCGCATGGCATACGAAACTGAAAAATGAAAAATAAATATACTCATATTGTGAAAATAAAAAACACGCTTTTGAAGAACTCCGAACTAACAAGTAAAAAAAAATTCAAATACGCTTAAAACAATAACAAACGAAAAATATACAATAATAAAAAATACAAAATATACGCTTGATATACAAAATACATATAATTCTCTAGTTATCACTAGCGAGAGAAGAAAACAAAAAAAATCAGTCGATCAGATAAAAAATTACGGATAATACTGAGTCAGTTAATGTTTGATCAGTGATAAATGCACTTGAAAATAAATTCACTAGACTAAAATATTGTTTTGTCTGGACAAGATTGGATTGGTTGGAATCAGTGATAGTTTCACTCGAAAAATAATGTTTTATTCATATACTTCTCTATTAGTTTTATCAATTCTAACTTTGATAAAGTATATCGCAACATATGTGAACTGTCTGTATTTGATAATTCACAACTAGCTTCAAAATTTCCGATTTATCTTCGAAATGAATATTTATAATGATTTCTAACCGAAAATATTCTGAGAAGGAATAAACAGTTTTTGGGTGAGATATATTGAAATGTTTTGCTGATACGATTGCATCATGTGCAATCTCAGCATATTATTGGGACCACAATATATGAAATTACTCATTGTGAAACAATGCATACAAGAAGTGAAAGATTTTCATATTTATTATTTAACTTTTTCATTCTCTATAACATTTTGAAAACAATCTACTCAAAAGACTGAATTATTCATAATTGATTTGATTCCTGGAGATGAGTATCTGAAGCTATGTCAATGCTATCAATAAATTCACTTCAAAACATGATCAAAATAACAAAGTATCAAAGCAAATAATTAAAAATAAATTACTGGGGTTAATACCAATCGTCAGATATTTCTGGCCAGTTGCTAAATCAGTCCTGCATCTCAATCCTCAATTTGATAAAAAAACCAGTTACCATTCCTACCATTCTCGTTCACCAATTCACAACTCAGAAAATCACATTTGATCTTGTCAGGATGCAGGCTCAATTAAAAAAGAAGATGCAGTGGTCATTTGAGGTTTCCATTGATTTTCAGTCCCTTTACTCTGTCTGATATTGGATCACAAATACATCTAATTGGAATTGAAGGGGTTATATTTTTCAGAAGTGATTAATTTTTGGGAAAGAAAGTTTTTGGCTTTCTACTACTCCATCTTGATACAAAAAAAAGAAGGATGAGGGAGTCTTCCAAAAAAAGGAAGGAAGTAACTCTATACATGGATGTGTAGATCATGCAAAGAAGTAACTTTCAGACACAAACTGAAAGAAAGTCCTCCTGAAACAGCTACTTTCATATAAACATTGAATTATACGGAAGAAAAATTCTTTCAAAACAAATATACTTCTATATGAACACTGAATTATACAGAAGATACTTTTCTCTAATCAGTTTGTATTTCAAACATTCGTTGTAGAATAAAAATCAGATATCATTCACATGAGTTTTACTTTAAATGAATGGTAACAAATTGCACTTACATAGAACACTGCCATCCTCACTCAGTGTGTATAATTCAATGTTTATATGAAAGTAGCTGTTTCAGGAGGACTTTCTTTCAGTTTGTCTCTGAAAATTACTTCTTTGCATGATCTACACATCCATGTATAGAGGTACTTCCTTCCTTTCTTTGGAAGACCCCTCATCCTTCTTTTTTTGTATCAAGATGTAGTAGTAGAAAGCCAAAAACTTTCTTTCCCAAAAAAACATCTAATTGCCTTCGATGAAAGCTGTAGACGAATTTCGTTTGGCGGTTGATGTCGGACCTGAGCTTTACAACTGACTAGCCGCTTTGAAGAGCCCCGTGATTGAGACTTCTGTCGATCCCATAGATGCTATCTTCGTAGGGGGAGATGTAATCACCTTTATATTCAGGCTTGTTTTTCTTAGGACAGTTGAGTGGTCGAGCCCAGCACCTCTGATGAGACCTTGTTGAGTCGAAACAGATATGTGTTTGGTGTTGGATCATAAATAATGTAAAAAACAGTTAGAGACACCGTGGATCCCTAGAGAATACCAGCATTCAAATCAAAGGTATCCAAGAGGGAATGTATCAAATTTATGAACTAGAAGTTGTTAAGATCAGGCTTTTACAAAGCTTGGAGTGCTACGAGTATAAAAATTAATGTACTGAATGCATTGTTGATATATACTTCATCAAAAGTCTTGTACCCCTCTTATACAGGGGTGAGCAGAAGTCCGGAATAAAATCAATATCTTTTTAAACAGTATTTTAGGAAAAAACGCTGAAACACTTCAGTTGATTTCACGTTGTACGCATTTTTTGGCAATAAAATGAAATTTTTTTTTTCAACCCCTTAGCGGCAACCCTCCCCAACATTTTTTTTCAAATGCAAACCTATGTCGTGTATGGGATCATTGAAAAGCTCGTAAAAAATGGATTCTGACAATACCTTTTTTTTTGTGATTACAACGAAATGAGAAAAAATCCTTTTGAAAAGTTACAAATACCTAACTTAGTGTTATCTACGGGTGAATTAACGTAACAGATACTGAAATTGGCCTCCACCCTCTACTTGGCAGGCTCCTAGGCGATGGTAAAACCCGTCTACGGAATTCCGAATGGCCTCAGCCGGTATGTTATGTGATTCCACTCTAATTCTGCTTTTTAGATCTTCAATATCAGCCGGCCTATTTTGATAAATCTTGTCTTTCATATATTCCCAAAAAAATTAATCTAATGGCGTTAAGTCTGGGGATCTTAGCGGCTATTCAATTGTACCACGTCGTCCAATCCAGCGTCCTGCAAATATGTCTTCGAGATATTCTCTGACATTACTACCAAAATGTGGGGGAGCGCCGTCCTGTTGGAACCAAAGTGTTTCAGTGGGGATATCTGGATCTGCTTCATTGGGAAACATAACAGCTAAGCAGGGACTAATTCAAAGCGTAAAAAGTTTAAGTAGAGTGCAGCTGTAAGGTTTCCCTCAAAAAAGTGTGGCCCTAATATTCTGTTGTTTATGATGCCTGCCCATACATTTACTTTCTGAGGAGGCTGCGTACGAGCTTCGCATATCCAGTGTGGGTTTTCCTGACTCCAGAATCGATAGTTGTGCCTGTTAACTACTCCATGTAAATGAAAAGTAGCTTCGTCCGAAAAGAGTATGTTGAGTGGAAACCCATTATTCTCGTCACATCGCCTCATTATTTCCTCACAAAATTGCAAACGCCTGTCATAGTCATCTTCCAAGAGCTCTTGGATAAGACATACCTTATATGGGTTGTACTTTTCTGTTTTCAAAAACCTCCCAATCGTACATCTAGACGCAGGATTGTTTTCGGTTAATGAAACCGTTGACAAATGTGGATCTTCCTGCAGAGATACGGTCCAATTTTTAATATTCGTCTAAAACATGTGGCCGGTCACTACTGGGCAAGTCCTTCACTGTACCATGTTCTTCAAATTTGTGTAAGATAGAACTGCCAGTAGCCTGGGAAATGTGATTTTCCGGATATTTTGTATTGAATAAAGTACACACCTCACTTTGACTCCGCATTCTATCCCCACATCCCAACAATATCAAGACTTCGATACGCTGCCTCTCTGACAATACCATTTTTGTTTAGCAAATTAAAAAAGAACACTTTGAAGGTACCCAGTTAATAAACTAAACATACATAATTTCACCCAGAAGTGCCACAATTTTGAAACTGAGTCAAGTTAATAGTTCTTATCAGGGCATTCATTTTGGTACAAAAAATGCAACAACCTTTTTTTCGACGTGGATTAACTCAGTAAGAGTGCATGGATGAACTTAATTCAATTTTTGGCGATGAAGCTCCATCAAGGACCAGTGTTTATCGATGGTATGGTGTTAGGAATCACACGTTAAAAGGTATGACCTCGTTAGTCCTTAGCTCGCACAAGTTTCTTAACTTCTGAGAGTTGTCGTTCGTACGGGGGCGGCAGCTGATTAAAGGAAAAAACAGATTTTAAACAGAAAAACAGAACAGATTCAATCGTGGTCGTAGTTGACTCCAATACGAATTTCGTGGAGGTCGTCCAAAATCAGTTGTCCGAAAACCATGGATCTGTGCGCGAACTGATATTGCAAGGTCGTCATGTGACCTATCGCGAGTTTGAGACAACCTTACGCTAGTTGCACACGCACCGATTTTGTACGGCCAGTATAAAATCGGCCGATATTTTATTGGTAGCGGGTGCTTGCACACTCACCGGATTTTTATCGGTCAAACAATCAGTTGCTTTGTTGTCGTAATTAGCACGCACTGCCAGAACGAAGTTAATGCGTAACGCTAGTTGCACACACACCGATTTTGGACGGCCAGTATAAAATCGGCCGATATTTTATTGGTAGCGGGTGCTTGCACACTCAGCGGATTCTTATCGGTAAAACAATCAGTTGCTTTGTTGTCGTTATTAGCACGCACTACCAGAACGAAGTTAATGCGTAGTAACTACAATTTCACCGAGCATTCGAGACTGGAATGGTCGGTAACAAACCGGTGAGTATGCAAGAGTGTATTT